CCACTGGAACTGGTCAGTGACGATGCTACTCAGTTCACATCTACTGAGTTCCAGGACTTCACCAGAGAGTATGGATTTGTGCACACAACCTCTAGTCCCCATTTCCCTCAGGCGAACGCCGCTGCTGAACGAGCGGTTCAGACTGCTAAGAACATCTTGAAGCAGCCTGACCCCCATTTGGCCCTGATGTGCTACAGAGCAACCCCTAGTACTGCTACAGGTGTGAGCCCTGCACTACTTATGACTGGAAGAGAGATTAGAACTACACTTCCGATGTTCGAGAGCAAGTTGCAAGCTGCTCCGGTGGACAAAGAACTGGTTCAGCAAAAGGATGACCAGACAAAATCAGCGTATCGGTTCTTCCATGATCGCCACCATTCTGCACAACCATTTCCCACATTACAGCCAGGACAGAATGTCAGGATAAAACTGGATGGTGAAAAAGGTTGGAAAACACCAGCTAAGATTATTGCCAAATGCAAGGAGCCACGGTCTTACATGGTGGAAGCAGAGAATGGAGCTGTGCTACGACGGAATCGGAGACACAGGCCGTCCCACAGCCCACCGATCGACCAGATCAGCTACAGTCACCTGATTCTCCAGTGGAACCGACCAGCAGCTTTCCACCCCAGGACAGTTCCGACTCCACGGCCAGAAGCCCGGTTCAGAGGCTGCTGCACCCAGAGGTGGAGCGTCCTACTTCACTCGAAGGTTCCCAGGTTACATCCAGAGGAAGAGTGGTCAGAATTCCTCTGAGATATAGAGACACTTAGTGACTCAAAGCCCTTTACTTCACCTGTTTGGTTCAGGAATTTAGGTGTGAAACTTATAGAGTTCAGAAATGTATTAAGTTCATTCTAATTTTGAGTTTTCAAGGACAGGGGAAAACATTATTGCATGTTGCAGTTTGTCTTTAGAAGAGTAATTTGATACAAGCTAAAAAAAAAAGGGGGAGGGGAGAGAAAAGAAGCAAATTGAAATTTTGAAAGAGCACTGGAACTATGTGAGTCTAAAGATTCATATGTTGGAGTTACCACCAGTCGACTAAAAGTAAATGAAACTTTTAAGTTTGTTTTGTAGGTTTGGTAGGAACAGCAACTGTTGAGGGCAGAATAATCCCTACGTTGGTGCAGAGTGAGGGCGTCTACCCCAACGTCCT